CCTTGAAAATTACTTTTGGCAGTATTTTAGAAAAACATTTCTCCTAAATTTATATAATTTTAATTACACAAAATAGATAATCGGATACCTTATCGATCCTTAGCCTTACCTGTTAAAATAAATTAATACCCAAACATATAATATCAATTACCCTTAAGGTAAAGGCAGGATCACGTTATCCGACTCGAAATGTTCACGCCAAATACTTTTGAGTATTATTGTGCTGGCCAAGAGTCTTCGAAAGCGAGAAAACTTATGAAAATCACATATTCAATTTGATTGTTTGGTTTTGTTTGTGCGAACAATGTAGGTTCCATATGCCACGACCCCGCTTGCACCTGGAACCATGTTCGTGATGCCATCTGTAAGATTTTGTCATTTCACTAGTCTCCGGAACTTTGTATAACTTAAACTTAACTTAGATTTGACTATAGGTCTATGGTATTTCCTCAAAACAAGTGGGATCCGGTGAACAGGTAAAACCACACCATTACATTCTTCTACCAACTTTTCAATGTTATGTTTTGGATGGTAAGATAAATTTTGGATATGTGTGATCTTATCTGTGTGACATTTAATATATTAAAGCCAAGCAAAATTGCGTACTACTTATATTCATTCTTTTAATCCGTATGGAGACGCAAGAAACTCTAGTAATCAACATTTTTAATAATGCACCCTAATAATGTCTTCTCCTTATTTCCCTTTTGTTGCAGGGGAAGGTTCAAGGATGCATATCTGGGGTAAAGTCATTTGCAGGAGTCGTTGCTCCATTTGTATATAGTCCATTGACAGGTACGTGAACACATGAGAGTGCACTTTGAACACCATTCATTACTAATTAGCTCTTAAGGCGTTTAACAATATACAGTTCGGTTTGGTATAGCATTATTTCTCTCCGAAAATGCACCATTCTACTTTCCTGGATTCAGCCTTCTATGCATCTCCTTATCTTGGGTATTCTCTAAACTTACAACCATCTCATCCATTAAAATGATGTTGATTGTAAACTGTATTAATCATGAACAATAAACATTTTGTTTACATGTACAGATGATTGCATTCCTTCAAAGTCTTCTGATAAAAGATGTTCAGTCTCCATCAAGGAACGAAGCAATCAGCAACACTTCAACCGAGAAAGCTTAACAAGAAATAGCTCATAAAGCGAACACAAAAGAAAAAATATACATAAACCATGCTATGTGACATTTTTATAATTTCGTATTCATTAATTTAAATATGGTATTTTGAGGATTTCTCTTCATTTAAACGTGACATTGTTCCCAAAGTTTTACCATGGCCAAAGCTAGTACAAAAGCCAAACAACGAGAATCGAATGAACGATAAGAGTAATACAAAACCCAATTGGTAGAGTAAACAAATAAGTACTTAGACAGAGAAATAAATGTTTTAGAGAGAGAACATATAACTCTTATTATTTTTTGGAAAATTCGTTGTTAGCTGCACGAACTATAAGACATCAGATGAGTACACATCTGAACTATAATAATGTATATTTAGATACACCAACAAATGTATAATACATGACAGCATTCATAAACTATATGACATTACATAACTACACATCTGAAATAAAATAATATAGTTTAACCTACACAAGTAATGATAATTATGTTAAAAATCATATTTATGTTAATTTTGTCACAATATTTGTGTAGCTGCGTTTAGATCAAGGTTTGAATTTATATAATTCCGATTAGCATCAGACTCCAAACATCTGAACTATAATAATGTATGTTTATATACACCAACAAATGTATAATACATGGCAGCATACATAAACTATATGACATTATATAACTACACATCTGAAATAAAATAATATAGTTTAACCTACACAAGTAATGATAATTATGTTAAAAATCATATTTATGTTAATTTTGTCACAATATTTGTGTAGCTGCGTTTAGATCAAGTTTTGAATTTATATAATTCCGATTAGCATCAGACTCCAAACATTTGATCCACATGATCAATTCCAAGATTCAAAATCTGGAAATATATGGGATCCTAGAGAATATACATCATCTCTCTAGATTTTGAAACCGTCACTTTTGAGTATGTTCAAAGGACGAATAATGTTGAGGCTGATTATGTGGCAAAATCAATTCTCAAATTTGTATCGGTTAACCCCGGTTTTCCACTAGTTTAATGAAGTTTCATCTTTTGACAAAAAAAAAAAACACAAATAATAAGCTTTCTCGATTTTTTCTCATCTTCTTCATAAAAAACTCGTATCTAGACATACTTCACAAAGGAGAATATCAACATAACAAAAACTGTTTTTTGTGTTGTATGAGTCTTCATTCGTTGTTCTTTGAAATCATATGTTTGAATATGATTTTCAGTGATGTATTAGGGCATGAGGCTTTAATGATTTGAATGAATAATATCAAATATTTGAAATCTTTGATCCAAATAATACAAGTACGTAACAATCCCAAATAAGAAACTGTAATAGTCCAAATCCATCACTATGGAAGATTATAAGAGATTCAATTTCATGTACCATCAATGGATGCCAAGAGGGATCAATAGTGGCATATTTAATCGATATCACAAAGTTACAGCGTGAATGAATCTGAAATCTTCGGGTTTCAGTGGTGTTGCAATCGATTCTTATGTGTACCGTGAGCTTCTTTAAATCAGGCAAGTTTTGTAACACCTTTTTAATAACATATTGAGAGATATTTGTCTCAAGTTTCAAGGCTTTGACCTTTAAGATTGGAAAAAGAACACCACGGAGTACGCCAAAAGATAAAATCTAATAGAAAAATAATCATCAATCAGAAAGTACTATTTACATGTATTTGTGTGCTTTATTTTTCAGGTTTTTTTTGGGATTTCAAGGATTTTTTCGATATTTTCAATGTTTTGAAACTTAAAACGGACATACTAAACCGTGGCCAGACTAATAGTCAGATTAAAATTATTTTTAAAATTTGTATTTATATAATTAAATTGGTAAAAATTCCTTAACTGGTGGTTGAGCCAGAAAAATCTAACCCTAAGTTCAATATATATAATATTTTTAAGTGTGTCTTCGTTTTTCATTTTTCATCATGTTTGTCAATTTTGTTTTATCTTCCTCATGTGTTTGGTGAGAACGTTATATATGTAATTACCAATTTATCTTAATTTATAAGAGGATTCAGTTTCTTATATATATATGTCATATATATGTGAATGTTAGAAAACAAAATATTATAGTCATAAATATCAAAATAATTATTAATTAATTGGTCTCTATCTTGACCAATTCGACCAATGATCTAGTGAGCCAAAATATTTATGGTTCATCATCAAGTTTTGTTTTTAACACATTGACTAGAAAGAGATAATTTTTATTTGAAAATGGTAGAAATCATATCAATAGTACGATCGAAAGTTATGATAGACTTTGTGAAAATAGATTAATTTAGCAAATTAGTTTCTTCTACATGTGGGTTGTTTTTCTTTGGATAATGTGGGTTTTTAGTTTTAGATCGGGTTTGAAACTTTGGATTTGGGTTGAGTTTTAATTCTATTTAGTCTATTGTTTATCTAAAATAATGGTTATTATCGCGGGTAGATAAAAATAGTAGCAAAATTAACGTACATATGGTTTTTAACATAATTTCTCTTTATTTGTGTACGTTACCATGCATTAAAACTTTTTTGGTGTAGTTAAAAATACATTTTTTTTATTT